TAACGGGGGAAAGAAATGGGTCGTGTCAAAAGCACCTGAGTGCAGTCACCAGAGAACCTATGTGAGCAAGCGCATTATGTCACTGAGGTGGAGCAGCTGTGGGAAGCTTGAGACCGAGTCCACGCTCAAAGGAAAGAGCTTCCGTGGCCAGGACATCTGTACCTACAGGGTCACTGCTGTCACTACAGCGGGATCCATTAGCGTGACAATACAAATAACATCCTAACCAAATTATCATTTTGAGATCCCAAAAGAATTTCACGTCCTAAGGGAAACAGGAGTTTTAATACACATTCATGTAAAAAAAAAAAAAGGACAATGAAGTAAACGATTTTTCAAGAGAAAAAAAAAATAACAGTGTTCTCCCAAGTGCAAGGACAGCATGTTTGCATGCAGAATAATTACCCAGCATTAGCCTGATCCTCGCAGCAATTAAAGCCCGCTGCCCACTTGGTTAATTGAGCAGGCTAGTTGGTGCCAGCCTCAGCCAGTCCCACTCTCTAGCTGCTGTTGAGGGTTCCAAGACAGAATATCTCCAGTCTTGTGCAACATGGGTGACTTGGCCTCATTTCCTCTGTGACCCTGCTGAGGTCCGCACACCACTGCCACTATGCTATAAACAATACTGTAAGATAGGAGCAATCTTGGGATTTCTGGGTCTTTGAACTTCTAGGATTCCTGCCCGCATTTGGCACTTCTAAGGAGTATGTTTTTTTATCTCTTCCTAGTTTCCTCCCTTCCCTCTTCCTCCTTCTTCCTTCTTTCTTTTCTTTCTTCCTTCCCTTCCTCTTTCTTTTCCTTCCTTCCTTCCGTCCTTCTTTCTTTCGTTCCTTCCTTCCTTCCTTCCTTCCTTCCTTCCTTCCTTCCTTCCTTCCTTCCTTCCTTCCTTTCTTGGTGTCTGTATATGCAGAGGTCAGAGGACAACTTGCAGAGGTTGGTTCTCTCCACTCTGTGGATCATCTTAGTGTTTAACCAGCTGAGCCATCTCTCCAGTCCCAGCACGTGTTTAAAGACAGCTTCTTCTGCTAAACTTCCCCAACAGATTTTTCTCTATAGTCTCCAGCAAAGTGTCTGTTTCTAGGAAAGGAGCCACCTGGGATAGATTTAAGTAAAGCCCCAATAGGTTTTCAAAAATCTACCTTGGGTCCTACTGCTTTGCAATGTCACACTGTGGGTCTTCACAATTTAAACAAGAGGTGATATACCGTCACTCCCCAGGCCTTGTCCTGGTTTCCGGAACTGGACTGTCATTCTGGCAGGGCCCATGCCTGGGTTTAGGAAATGTGAGCTCTGTGCTAGCAGGCCAGGGAAGAACCATTTTCTAAGTGCCGTGCAAACCTCTTTCTGCTCATGGGCCACGCCCTCTCTCTAATCCTGCCTGCTCCCACAGATGAGGCACGCACCTGTGACAAGTCCAGCAAAGTCAGCAGCACAGGCGGAGGACCTAAGGATCTGAGTCCCATGGGCCCCACCTTTTCCTCACTGAGAGGCGACTTTCCTGTCACCTGTCTCTGGCTCGCAGTGATCCTGACCTTACACCCACCACAGAAGCAAAGTCCCGTGGTTACTGCGGCCCCAGCAAGGGTCATTCTGCAGCTGACTAATGCAGGGGTGTGGAACTTGAAACTTCCCTGGGAAGATCCTTACTGGGAGCTGGAAGGAGGTTTTGCTGTTATCTCAAAGCAGTCCTTGCTGGGGGATGTTTCCTCTGATTTACCCCCTACTAAACCATGAATAACCATGGGGAATGACATGCAACATGATTTGTGAAAATGCAGCTGGCTAGTCCCCTGTGTGATGAACTGTAACTTAATGTTAGTTTCATGACAGGAAGGACACTTAGAGGGGACTCACAGGATTATAGTCAAAGCAGTAAACAAAAGGCGGAGCACTTAACCCATAGTCCCATGACTGTGTGTGACATAGCCACCAAGGCTGACCACAGTCGTTCCCGAGGAGCTTGAACGCAAGGGAGGTCCTTGTCTTTCCCCTGTTCTGCTGGCCCACAGCATCTTTTGTAACACAATCCATATAATTTTAAATGTGTACTACCCACTGTAACAATTTAACAAGAGTTCTGGTATTATGAAACTTTAAGCTGATTTAGACATAACAAAATGACCTTAAGGATTGCACCTTGCTTTTGAAATTTTCCTTAGAGCTTGTTTCTTTCTTAAGGTAAAGTGTCAGCATTCTCCACATAGATGATAGTGAGTCAGATGATAGACTAGATAGATACTGACAGATAGACAGCTATAGATGATAGGAGATAGTATGTAGGTGGATGGAGGCGGATGGACAGACTGACAATGGACAGACTGATAGACGTATAGACAGATGATAGCTGACAGAGAGACAGACAGACGGATGGATAGATGAATATGCGGAAGATGGTGTCCATCCTTGCCTTTCCTGTGATACCTGCATGCTGACAGATGCCATGTGCCTCTGAGGACATTCCCTGGCCAATTAGGAAGGTGAAGATGTATGAGGTACATTGTCACAATTCCCTTTTCTGAGGTTATGTGTTTTATAATAAAATAAAGAGGGGGCAGGAAATATGCTCTGATAAAAAATAGGAATGCAAATGTCCGTCTCTAGCTGGTGTTTGTTTTGTTGGGTTCTTAAAGTCATTTGAGTTTTTACAGCAAACCCGTCAAGCAGATGTTGTTACTGTGATCCCTGCACCTTGTTATTAGAAGGCAGGAGCACCGTAAAGAGATGAAATGACTTTCCCTAAGTCACACTGTGAAGGGGTGGAGCCAGTGCCCAGCATGGCACAGCTTAGAGCCTGTGTCCTTAGCTCTGTGTCAGCTAAAGCCAAGCAGAATCAACATCTGGAAAATTGGATCCTCCTCCAATGTCTGTGGTGTGCGATTTCTGATAACTCACGAGCAGCTGAGCCACACAGTGAGTGACTTGCTTATTATCTCCAGCATCAGGTTCCCATAGCATCCTGGAGCACTGTCTCTCAGGCCTGTGACATAGTTCAGAGGGTGAAGGTGGCTTCTCCCAAACCTGGTGACCAGAGTTTCGTCCCTAGACCCCCCCCCCCCGATGGTAGAACGGGGGTGACACCTACAAGAAATCCTCTGACCTCCACACATGACACATGTGTCCCGTGACACATGGGTACACCTAAGTTCTCACACTCACCAAAGACATAAATAAATGTAGCAAAGAAAATTTAAAAAGAAATGGAAGTTTTTCTAAAAGATCTCCTTTCCCGATGTTCTTTTCAGTGTTCTAAATTTTCAAAGCTCCATGATTTTTTAAACCTTTGGATCATTGATGTAGCTAATGATGACACATATTGTACTGAACAGTCAGCTCCTTGAACACTGTCACCCTTGAACTCGTAACATTTCAAGATGTAGCTCTCAATTGACTGTTGACATTGGAGAGAGAGAGAGAGAGAGAGAGAGAGAGAGAGAGAGAGAGGTAAAGGCAGGTACAGCTAATATGCCTGGTCATCAAGTCGAACATAGCAGGGGTATTCATGTCTAATTTGAGATTATTTGGACCCTCACAATCAGAGATGTACCCTCTACCTTGAGGCTTACCTCTGCTTTTTAAGCTCAACCTTGTAATGCTGTCTTTAAACTAAAAGAGCAAGTCCTCTGCAGCCCTTCCTGGCAGGAGGCATTTGGTACTTCCCGGATGTTTTTAGACTCCACCCAAGGTTGCAGTAACTGTATGCCATGTGGGCAATATACCTCAGCTGTGTATTCTTGAGTTAGGAAACACTCATGTAGAAAATCCATTAAAGGTCATATCTAGAGATATCTGCAATTATCTCTGCATCTCAGGACTAGCCTATGAAAGGATTAGGTATATCTCTACTTTTGTTGTAGACATTTTTTAATGATAAAGAGTCATGTAAGTCTCCAAACTACTCCATGCTTCCTGCAAGGAAAATTTATTTCTTATCTTCTAGCCAAGGATGTCATGTCAGGCCACTCCCCACAAAGGACATGTTCACATCCTGACTACCTCCACTTACGTGGAAAGAATGGAGTTTTCCGCCAGGCAGTGGTGGTGCACACCTTTAATCCCAGCACTCGGGAGGCAGAGGCAGGAGAATCTCAGTGAGTTTGAGGCCGCATGGTCTACAGAGAGAGTTGCAGGACAGCCAGGGCTATTACACAGAGAAACTCCATCTCAAAACAAAACAAAGAATGGAGTTTTCCAAGATGTGCTCTCTCATTTGCAATGTGTATCCTCTACACTTTCTGTCTGGGGTTGGTGGGTCCTTCTTTGTTATCTGTTTCTCTGACTTCATCAACACAACCAGATGATACGTTATGAAAACTGGGGATACTATTATGGCATATATTTAAAAATGAGAGCATACTTCAAGTGCACACCCTTCTATGATGTCAAATATCTTAAACAGACAATATGTGGAGAATCTCAAATAGGAGCAAGTTTAACATGTTCAGAGTCAAGTGGCCAGAGGCCCCAGGGCCAGCCACCCCTCTGTCAGGAGGAAGCCACAGGCAGCGAAGATTCAGTAGCCACCAGCATCACTATCAGTTCCCTGTGACTACCAGAGTTCTAGCCCCATTCATCAACAACGACGATCACAGACATTTCATCTCAGATACTTGGGCTGGCTCACCAGCAACCTCAAAACTGTAAATCATGGCTAGACAAATATACTGTTCATTTTACTTTCAACTGCAAAATACCAGATATAGTGGGAACAAGTTTTAGAAATAATGATCAATATGATATTGCCAAGAGATCCACAGGACTACCCATGTTTCATAGCTCAAGTTTGTAGCCTCTGTTGTTTTCTATTTTGACATGAGAATGACATGCCTCATGCAGTCTGGTTTCAGAGACAGGCCATTGAGAGAGGACTCTAACCATAGAGCACTGATCTAATTTACAAACAGTGTTCCAACATGTCCTTTTCATTTCCCTCTGTCATGTATGGAACGGCCTCTTCACTCTTGGAAGCCTTCCATTGAAGCACTGAGGCGATTTGGACCTACCTTGGTACACAGCCTTAAACCCTGGAGAGCCGATGCTGTCGTCTGACTGCAGGTGCAGCCACATCTGGTTGCTCATGCTCACGATGAGGTCAGGGACACTGGAGCCTGTGAGCCTGCGCAGAAGGGAAACCATCAGACTTTGAGTACTGTCCACAAATAAACTGACTTTTCCTCAGAGCAGGAACTTGTTGCTTGAACAGTCAACACACACACACACACACACACACACACACACATACACACAGACACACACACACACATACACACAGACACACACACAGACACACACACAGACACACACACACACACACAAATACACACAGACACACGTCACATCACACCTATGGAACACTCTCTTTCAAAACCTTGTAACAGCTTGTCATTTATATAACTATTTAAATATTATGATCACTGGCATTTTTGGTGACTATCCAGTCACTGTAAACACATAGCTATTTTCATTTAAAAAAAAAAAGCTACAGGGGACTGGAGATATTGCTCGATGGTTATTGAACTTACAGAGGACCTAGGTTCAGTTCCAAGTACCCACACAGTGGCTCACAACCATCTGAAACTCCAATTTCAAAGAATCCAATAATCTCTCTGGCCTCCCCTGGCACTGCACACACGTGGCATGCACAGATACACAGAGGAAAAGCAATCATACACATAAAATAAAAACAATTTTTTAAAAAAAGACCATTTCATTTACTGGAATTGACATGTTCCCTAGGTACAATATTTACAGGGATAAATCAATACAAACCTGGAAAAGCAAAGAGCCAGCTGTGCTAGGTGACGGGGAGGTGAACCCTGTGGCTCATTACTTTATTGCGTGATACCTTTGCAAGGTGAGAAACCCTATAGGTTCATTACTCTATCTAGTTTAGAATTCTGCACCTTGCATACAGAATCTCTTTTAAGATGTATTAAAGGTAATTACACATTATAATGATATTGAAAAGAACAGCATATGTGTGGTTGAGATAGACATGGTAGAATTTACCGAACATCCAAGTCAAATGACAAGATAGTTTTAGGAAGCATTCAGTGTGTATTCAGAAACCGGTCACATCCCCTGCTCTGTCAGCCGGTGAAAAGAAACACCAAATCCATCGACTGAACTCAACACGCCGACAGAATAGCATGTTGAAACAGGAAAAAGTGCAGGAAGGAAATCAATTCACCCAAAACAAATGTCCCTAATCAAATAGGAAGCTTCGCTTTCAGCAAAGTGGTTTCGGGAATGTGAACGCATGATTTGCACTATCAATCACAGCAGCCGTCTATCAACCCAACATTCTCCTCACAGACGGCCTCGAAAACCTGCTTCTTCAAAGGAAGATGAACAGCAGTCATTACACGCCGAGGAACTCAGGCTTCATTACACTCAGGCTGGAAAAGGAACGTGTTCCAGTGAGCGATGTACGCTTGCTACACACGTATGTCTGAAGATCTGTCTTTGTTGGGAGATTGTTCTCTTGTGTTTGCTTGTTTGATTGTAAGGGAGATTTGTTTGCTTTTCTGTGCATGCATTTTGTTGAAGAATAATCAGCCAAACAGCACATGGATCATAAATGCATAGCTTTGTGGCTCCTGAGAAAGGGAGCCAGCCTGCAGATCCCCCAGGGAGGCCGCCTCCTGGGCCCATCTCTGATCCCTGCTTTTCCCTCTAGCTTTGCCAAAACATCTACAGCTGTACCTGCCTCCCTAAGCATCCCATAAGTGAATTAAGACTTTGTAAAATACTTTGCTCAGCAGAACTGAGGGAAAGATACTCATGAGTTTCCTTATTTTAATTTCTCTACTTAGAATTCATCTCTTTCTCTCTCTCTCTCTCTCTCTCTCTCTCTCTCTCTCTCTCTCTCTCTGTGTGTGTGTGTGTGTGTGTGTGTATGGGGAACGTGATTAATACTAGTATTTTTATTTTTTCTAGTAAAATATTGTACTAATAAAGTTGACAGAGGTAACATAAAGAGTCCACATGTATTCTTTCCTGTCTCCTCCAATGCTAAGATTTTACAGACCTGTAAGATATTGTCGCAGCATGGATGGATGACCTACTTGTCTTGGGAAGCCCATGTGACCTGTCTGTCTCTGTATGTCTCTGTATCTCTGTCTCTGTCTCTGTCTCTCTCTCTCTCTCTCTCTCTCTCTCTCTGTGTGTGTGATTGTGTGTATGTGTGTGTAACTCTCTTCAACACATGTGTAGACTTGGGAATCCAGGTTGCGGTCAATACAGTCCATCTTCAAAGATGCGCACACGCCCTCTCCTTCTTGCCACACATCACTGTCAACCACGAGTCTGTCTCTAGCTCCAGATTCCTTCATTATGCTATTGCATAAACGAGACCACAGTTTGCCTGTTTTATAATTGGTTTTGTCTGCTTGGCTTAGTTCCCCAGGTCAGTCGTATGACTTGTACACTATCAGTTCCTCCCTTCCCATCGCTGAGTAGGACTCCCGGGTGTGGATAACTCAAGGCCTGCTAAAGTGCTCATCTGCTTGGTAGATGACCCATAAGGCTGACATAACAGATGGGCAGGTTTTCCACGGTATAACTCTTCATGTTACCTGTTACAAATTCCCAAGCATGCAATTGTATTTTCTGATTTCTGTTTCCATAATTTCGATTTCTGTCTTCAAGGGTCTAGATTGAGCATTCTATTTAAATTCCCATCAACGGTATCTGAGCAGGAAAGTTCTTGGTATCTCCAGTGGAGATTTAGTGTGGCCAGGGTATATTTAAGCTCCTCCTCTGCCAATTATGTAATGACCTCTCAAGGGTTTTGCATTTACTTTTGGTTGATCACTAACGGTGCAGCTAGACCTTGTCTGTTTCCTATACACCCTGTTAAGAAAAAGCCTTCATGTCCTGTGTCCCTTACTAATGTCCTTACTGATCATCCTGTGTCTCTTTATTGAAGGATTAGGAGCATCCTTTGCCTTCCCAAACATTCTCACCCAACAAAGGATTTATGTTTGACCAAGGTGCCTGAAACCAAGAATCAGAATATGCCCTTGAAGGGGAAAGTTTGCAGGATGAGAGGAATACACCTTCCCTGTCCTGTTTGCTTTTGAAAAATCTCACGTGCCTTGCATGTCTTATTGTGGCTCATGAGGTCCGTATGCATGTCACCATATATTCAGTTCCACAGCTCCTCTCAAGTAGTCAAGGCTGCTGTAAGCAGAGGGGTGAGGGTCCTAGTTACTCCTTTTCCACTTGCTCAGTTTATTTACATTTTCTTCCAGTTTTCCTTTCTTAGGCGGTCATTCCCAAGTATGTGACTATGCCACAGGAAGACTGTATCTAATCTTAAAGCCATTGCTTTGTATCAGAGAAGAGAGAAGAAAGAAACGAGAGCACTGTTGTATCCTAACGTTGGTGTAAACATCCCCAAAGTATGAACATCCAGGTTACCTGGTGACGACAGGGGATCAGAAATGGTGCCCACAGCGCTCTGCAGTAAATGGAAGGTCTGCTTTTCTGGCCTGTGCCCACAGCAGGTCTTTGCTGACATCGAACCTCTTCACCTCAGCTATCACTGCATGCTCACCCGCCCTTATGTGACAGTGTATGGGTTACTATATCTCTCCCATGTGAAGTTTGTGTTTCAAGTGGATAAGATATGGTGCAAGATGTCTCATGATTCCTTGATTCTTCCAACACAATAGCCCCTCATTGCCACGCCTTGGAAGATCTTTGCCTTCTTTGCTGTCTACACAGGATTTGTTGCTGTTCTCAACGGAAGTTAGCAGAGATGTTTTGGAGGTAAATAGTGAAGCAACTGGCCTAGTTTGTGCCCATCTTGCTGTGCTTTCAAATGAACATCTGAGCTCTGAGCACACACAATCCTGGTCACTTCGCTCCCTACAGAGCTGACTCCCTAACTTCCTAGAAATTACTATTAGGTGCCTTGTGTCTTGCTAGCCCAGACTCCTGGTAGTGGTCAACTCTCCTGTCTCTGAAAACCCTCAGCTTTTTCACCCATTTATCAAACCCCCATGATGAATATGTGTCAACAACCTTGCCTTTCTCTTCTTTGTGTGTGTGTGTGTGTGTGTGTGTGTGTGTGTGTGTGTGTGTGTGTATTAAGTATGTGCACATGTCTATATCCATGTTTACATGTGTTTGGGCATATGTGCACATGTGTAGAAGTACATGTGGAGGTCCAAGGCTGGACGTCAGGAGTCATTTCTCTACCTCATTCTTTGTGGCAGGGTCTCTAAACCAAACCCAGCACATAATATGACTGGTCTCACTAGTCAGCTTGCTCTGAGGATCCCCTGTCTCTGTTGCTTTCCAAGTCTAGAATCATAGGCAGACCATGCACCCAGCCAGCATTTCTGCGGGTTCTGAATATCTGAACTTCACTGTTGTTATTTGCACAGCAAGCCCTTCATCAGTTTATTGGTCTCAGCCCAATAGCACTCATTCTCCTGGGCTGAGGTCCATGTCTGTTTTCTCCAGTTTCCTCTAGTTATTGCTGTAGCATTGGCTTCCTCTTCCTGTTCTTTCTTGCTCTTTATTCCCTGCTCTGAGCTGGCACTTGCTTCCTTAGTTGAATGAGGAGAGACAAATGGCAATGATGAAGGCTGGAAGCCTGAATTCCTCTTGGAAGCAGGAAGCTTCTGTTGAGAGAAACGAGGCCAGGGAGGACTTCCTGAGCACAGTGACCCTCAACCCCCAGACACTGCCTCTTCCTTTGCTAAGGTTTGGTTTGAACATAGGCCATCCCTTAGCAGTTCACTGGGGTCTCTCTTCACTTAGCCCCTTCTCTGGTTACTTTCTTGCCAGGTATTTAATTTAAGTTGTTAAGAAACATAATTATTACGCAGAAAATCCACACTCATTGCAAAGATGCATACTTCTAAAGTAACTAACTACTTACCCTGAGGTGCTTGTTTGAATTTCTCTTATTTGCCCACTGCACTTTATTTTAATCCAGTCTTACTCTGTGAATTCACTCGAAATTGAATAGGCAAGCATCCTGGCAGCTACTCACATAGCTCACTCAATCAAATGTCAAACCCTGTTCCTGCAGTCAGTCCCATTTTAGAATTTATTTTAAGCCTCCAAATTATTTGATTGGCATGCATGAGAAAAAGGGCT